GGGCTTATGGTATACAGCTGGATCAAGGAGGCAGGGCTTATGGTATATAGCTGGATCAAGGAGGCAGGGCTTATGGTATACAACTGGATCAAGGAGGCATGTGTAGGATCTCAGGAGCCATAAATGCCTGGTGGGAGTGGGGAAAGCTATGTTGAACTTTTTCTGCACACATTATCAATATCTGCATATGGAGCAGAGAAGGGTTTGCCATCCCTCTTAACCTCACCCAAGGAAGGCTTTGCCATTTCCAAGGCACTGGGGTCCTTGACCTGTCTGCTCCATGTCAACAACACACATTCACTCAGGATTTACTCACTTCCTCAGTACCTGGTCATAATCGAATTGGGCTACATGTATAAGTAAGTTAGAAGGCATATGCTATCATCTTCGAATTTTGTTTTGAAATTTCTTTTGCCTCAAACTTTTTCTTTGCTTAGGGGCATTGTGTAATTTGTAGTAATCATTTTTATAATTATTTATTTTTTAAAAGTTTATAAATAGGAGCCAGATATAGTGATAAATACTTACAATCTTCGTCTTCAGGAATCAGGTCAGGAAAATAGAAAGTTTGATGCTACATAGATTCTCCCTTAATAAAAAAAATGAAGAATTTATTAAACTGCACACTGATTACATTATGAGAGATAGAAAAGTGAAGGAAAATCCAGTCTTTACCATCATGATTATAACTATAAATCTCATTGCAATAAGGATTTTTTTTTCTGTAGAATACAGTGCATGGCCTGTCACACAGTCAGCATGTAAGTGAACACATTATATTTGTTAAGTGTTGTAAGGGGTACTAATATGTGAAATAGGACCCTCAATGGGTTTACATTTCCAAGTAGATATACTGTAGTCTCCTATACCCCAAATCTAGTAAGTAATATAGACGTTTAATGTGCTTGACCAAATGGGAACTCCAAATTTTAAAATTCTAAGGAAACAGTACAGAGAGAATTTACGCAAGGGCTGGAATTGAACTTTTTATTTTGAATTGGTATGCTGACCTAAATTGATAAATTCCAGAGACTTTTTGAGATAGGAACAGTGAAAAGTGTGGGATCTGTAATGCTAGAATAAGTGATGAAATCTTTCTAGTTGGTAGTTTATAAGGAAATAACGGAGAAATGAGGTGAGGCAAGAAATCCGGTTATAAAGAGCCTTTGTATTATGAAATTTTAAAGGTTTGTATACATTTTCATTCTTTTTCCTTGAAAAAGATAACTTAGTGAAGGATATCTGATGGAGGAGGGTCATCTGTCTATGTGTTACTTTCATTGGTTAATAAAGAAACTGCCTTAGCCTTTTGATAGGACAGAAAATTAGGCAGAGTAAACAGAACAGGATGCTGGGAGGAAGAAGGCAGTGAGGCAGTCGCCGTGACTCTCCTCTCTGAGACAGACGCAGGTTAGGATCTTTCCCGGTAAGCCATGACCTCATGGTGCTACACAGATTACTAAATATGGGTTAAAGCAAGATGTGAGAATTAGCCAATAAGAGGCTGAAACTAATGGGCCAGGCAGTGTTTAAAAGAATACAGTTTCCATGTAATTATTTCAGGGGTAAGCTAGCTGGGATCTGGGCGGGAACGCAGCCCACTCCTTCCTTTTACAGATGTCTGGTGACTTACTGATTTGGTCCTGTGAACTTTTGTCCACACAACCATGTGACAATGGTTGTTTTTATTCTCACCATTTCTATTGCACTTTCAACCCACTAGATGTCATTATGAAACCAGACAATGAAATTGTTGAAGCATTAACTCCTGTACTTTGTGGAGAACTGATTAGATAATGGCGTCATAGTTTAATTTCTGAATGTTAGTGGGTTTTCAGGTTTTGTTTCTTTAAACTGTAGAAAAATAGAATACTGGGGTTGGAATTTTAAGTTGTTTTTTTTTCCCCCTTTTTATTATTTTATGTGATGGGTGTTTTGCCTGTATGTCTGTGCACTATGTGTTTGCAATGTCTGCAGAGGCCAGAAGAGGGCATTGGAACCCCTGGAACTGGGGTTGCAGAGGGTCTTGAGCTGTCATGGGTGCTCAAGCTTAAACTAGTGTCCTCTGGGCTGCATCAGTTTCGTGTAGTCCAGGTGGTCTTAAACTCACAGAGATCCATCTGCCTCTGCCTCTTGAGCCCTGCCATTAAAAGTGTGTGCAAACCACACCTGACTGACATTGGGTTTTTAAAGTTCATGTGACATTTAAATATTTAAGGATGAAATATTTGACATCTCGAATATACTTAATAATATAAAGATCATCTAGTATCTTACTGCTTTGATGTTGCCATAATAAAATACCTTGACAAAAGCAACCTAAGGGAGAAAGGGCTTCTTTTGGCTTAGAGTTCCAGGGACATGCATTCTGTTGTGGCTAGAAGACATGACAGCCAACAGGGATGGCATGGTGGCAGGAGCAGGAGCCTAGGTGGTCACACAGTGTCTGCACTCAAAAGGCAGAGTCTGTAGGAAGTGCAGCTGTGCCTCAAGGCTCAGCCCCAGTGACCTGCTTCATCCAGTAAAGCTCCATGTCCTAAAGGTTCCACAACTTTCTCAAACAGCGTCTTCAGGTAGGGATCAAGTCTTCAAACATGTGAGCCTATGTGGGACATTTGACATTCAAACCACAGGATGTAGAGAGTTACAGGTAAGGTAAGTTTGTTCAGGAGTTAATGCTGAGTCTGGGTTATATGCTTGAATTTTAGGTGCTTACTTATACTTCCCTTAAAAGAAAGTTAGGAGTAGGCTGGAGAGATGGTTCATAGATTAAGAGCATGGGTGAGAGCCCAGATTCAATTCCCAGCATCCACATGGCAGCTCACAGCTGTCTGTGACTCCAGTTCCAGAAAATCCGATGCCCTCTTCTGCCCTCTGCAGGCACTGCACTCGCATGGTTAACAGACATACTTGTAGGTAAAATGCCCATACACGTAACACTTTTAGGAGCCAGTGGTTCAGTGGGGGAAGCCACTTAGTGCCAAATCTAAAGATCTTGAGTTCAATCTCAAGGACCCACATAGTGAAAGGAGAAAACCAACTTGTGCAGATTGTCCTCTGGCCTCTGTGTTTCAGCTGCGATTTGGGACACTGTATTGTTGTTTCCCCAAGTGAAAGTGCTTGCCACCAAGCCTGAAATCTGGGACCCACATGCTGGAAAGAGAAAAACTCCCACAAGTTGTCCTCAGTCCTCTACGCATTCTCTCTCTCTCTCTCTCTCTCTCTCTCTCTCTCTCTCTCTCTCTCACACACACACACACACACACACACTAAATAATTAGTTTTAATGGAAATGTGATTTGGCTAGTTTTTCTCTTTGTGTCTGTACCCAGCCTCCTACCTATTAGCACTTGATAGACAGACCAGATATGATCAGGAACCTAAACTAAGGCACTAGAGCCACAGAGTGGGAAGAGGTTTCAAGTGGCCACAACCCCTTTTGTTAATACTGATACTCGTTATTAAGGCTTTGTTTTCTGTGGTGTCTCTTGGTTATTTTATTTAGATTTCATCTTAAAAACATCTTACCATGTCTTCATTCTCACCATGTAACACATTTATCTTTAGATCGTGCAGTTTA